ATAACCCGTGAAGTAACTCTTCCTCAAACATAGAGTAGAGTTTCCGAGTATAATATGTTGCAGCTTGCCTCAACACTGGGCTTGTTTTAACTGTCAGTGTAATAACATTTTGAAAGCTTTTGAAGTCTTCATCCTTTTTGTTCATTCTTCATGACTTCATAATAATTTCTAACCTCAGAAAACAATCTGTTAAGGAACTAGTGGGCTTAGATGCACCATGACAGACATTATTTGTGGACTCACTTATTTGAGTAGACAAGATTCCCATTCCAAAAATTTCTTTACTGAATGCAGTTGACCAGTTATGTCTTATACAGTATAATGCATCTAGCCACATGTTATTGTGCAGGTTTCCTTGCTCGATCATTAGAGCCCAAATAACTTTGAACTCATCTTCCAAATCACACTTGCTCATGCATTTATAAAATAAGATTGTTAACGCTCTTGTATGTCACACCGCAATGAACTTTCGACGAGAATTTCTTATAGATATGCCATTGGCATAATCTATGTCTTGTAAATGGAAGACAATCTGCAATAGCTCTTGCCATCGCTTGATCCTGATCTAAAAATATTGTAATTGGATGCTTATCATCCATTATACGAATGAAAGTTTTGAATAACCACTTGAACGATTCTATCGTCTCGTCAGATAAAAAACCAACTCTGAATAGAACGTTTTGCCGATGGTGGTTAATCCCAACGAAAGAAGCACAACATATATTATACTTATTCAAACGGTAGCTAGTGTCAAAAATGATGACATCTCCAAAACAATCATAATCTAGTCTGCAAGACCCATCATTCCAGAAAAAGCTTGTAAGTCTGCCCTCGTCATCACTTTGGAAATCCCATGCAAACATGCTATCTTCATTTTGGCCCTCCATGAATAATTGTAAGAGAGATTTGGCATCGCCCTGTTCAATTCTGCTTCTTTTATCTGCCACATGTTATTGTGCAGGTTTCTTTGCTCGATCATTAGAGCCCAAGTAACTTTGAACTCTAATGCATCTAGCCACATGTTATTGTGCAGGTTTCCTTGCTCGATCATTAGAGCCCAAATAACTTTGAACTCATATTCCAAATCACACTTGCTCATGCATTTATAAAATAAGATTG